CGGGAATCCTTAATCATAGGTAATCGAAGAACAGTCTGAAACATGCGCAGACTGTTCGGGATTAAAACTGAGCCGATGGGCAATCTGAAGGTGCTGGCTTGTGTTTTTTTTACTGCTGCTATCACACCGGTTTGTTCTGGGCATTTTTTTCTTGAGAAAAAACAGGGAGGAAACTGGTCCAAAGACTGTGTAGGTGAAGCCTTAATATTACTGTATTAAATGTATTGCCTACCGAGCAGACTGCTCACTGTCCCTCTACTTTGATGGACGCTAACTAGTAACCGCGAGGGCGCAGTGCGAGTCCAGTGTGTAGACCGGTAAAGCTTCATCAAGTAGTTCTAGTAGTTCCAAAATCTGAAATCAACTGTGTCTGCACTTGATAGTGTTCATAATGATATGGCATAACCTGAATAGTTGTTTGAATGTAAACCAGCCAGTCCGACACCCAATGTGTGTGTGTGATATAAAGAGGATTGCCGATCTGGTGAAACCTAAGGATTTTTACAAGAAGATCCCAAGCTGCGGCCCCCAGATTATTATAGCAGTAAAGCAGACATTGTAATAAACAAGAAGATTTGTTGTGGCTTATCAAGTATTATTACTGTTTTTTTAAGAAAACTAGAACAGTCCGAAAAAGTGAAGAACTAGGGTCACTGAGTAAACCTTAGTTTTGAATGTGGATTAAGTCCGTTCATGCAGAAAAAACGAGTGAATAAAGCAGCACAAGTAGAAATACGCTTAAAAATAGTGCTTTTGTGAAATTTTCGGAATCATATGCGCAATGTGAAGTACGGCTGTTACCGAAAAGCCCAAAGTTCCAGTTCGTAATAGAAGATATTTATAATAATTTGCAGTTGTTTCTATATTCCTGTAGACTTTGAGTTACGTTGGACTAAGGCAACCAGATTTTCACTCGATTTTGCCGATTAAGGCGCCACAGGTATTTTTTAAGTTGACATGTGGACATGACGGTCAGTGACTAATGAATTTAAATTAATTTGTCAGGTGCAATCGTAAATATGCCATCTTGTGTACGTTGAGAGAAATTTCCTTCCGTCACATTTCCTCATGATTATTTCGAGAGTTCGAGTGCCACGAGTTTAAGATTGTTCTTGAAATTCTGTCTAACACTTCACAAATTTTAGTGTTTTTATTCTATTGTCCCTAAATACCAATTTCGTTCGACGTGCTTAACAAAAACTTCAAAATAAGGTGTTTATCTAAAGCATTTATCTAAATAATGTTTCTTAAACATTCTGTCCTACGCAGCTATTTTTTTTTGGGTCACGGTTTTAGAATCACCCAAACATGTCAACTCATTGACGAGAAAAACGAACGTCCATAAACAAAAGCCGCGAACGCATATGTCTAAGATTAATTTTTATAACAAATTACCTCTTGAAAAAGCGCCTTAATTAGATATTTCGGCATCGAATATCATCAGCATCGAACACCAAACCTCCCTACGGTGGATCTATCTCTCCTGCTCTCCATCTGTGTTTTTGATGACAGAGCAGCCCTTACCGACCATGCTGCTTCGACTCCTCCTCCTCCTCGCCGCCGGGATTGAGGCTCACCTGGCGGGGCTCCGGATCTAACAAGGGCTACTAGCCAGCCAGCATTGAATATCTATGTACTTCATCTTTTTGAAGATTAAGTCAAGATCAAAATTGGAAATTTTGACCAGTTCCTTGACTTTCCTAAAAACTAGGGATTCATTTTCGGCTGAAACCGAAAGAACCCACTACGCTATATATATCCTATATATCCTGTATATCGGAGCATTTTTCAGTATATTTGTTTACTGCTAAGCTCAATTCTAAGAAAACAAAATGAGTGCGGAGAGGCAGAATATCAATATTACACAATCCTTTCTTCCCGTCTAAAAAATCTATATAAGTTTTCCAGTGAAGTTTTCCGGTTGGCGGTGTTTGCTTATCTGTTCTACATTTACTGAAACGAAATTGCAGTGTCAGACTGACAAATACTAGGCAGCGTACAACTGTCTTACGTTTGCCAGAGGACAACAACCCGGGTGTCCATCAGCCATTTTACAGCAGGTTTGCCATTCTTCGCATGTGTCTTCCTCCACTGGACAAGTATTGTCCTTTTTAGGCGTCTCCTTCGGGTTGACTTTGAGCCCCAGCTGTGTATCATCGGCGCTGAGGATGCAGGACTGGGTACGAGCATCACATTGGTAGCCCGCAGGACAACAGTGCAAACCATCGTTACAGCAGACCGCCTAAAAAGAGATAAATTACACTGTGAGAGTGACCGACTATTATGCTTAAGCTGTTTATGAAACTGATTATGGCGATCAATAACACAAACCTGATTTGTGC